GAGGAGCTATTAAAAAGGACAGAACAGTTTCCAAAGACTTGTTTAATATGGATGAAATATATGGCTAGGGACTAGCTTTGACAGAAAGTTAAAAAGTAGTTAAAATACAAAAAGTTATATTTTTTTCTCAGAAGCAAGGAATATGTACAATGCAGTATGTATTCAACGAGACGGGTTTCTTAACTAGTGGTTGACATTCATTAATGGGTGAACACAGACATTTGGATTCCATCTGTTGTCTGACAACTGACACCGTGTCCTAACCAGGCATGATGAGATGTTTGTAGCAACAAGCAATTGATCTTTTCACACTAAACTGAAACTGCAAGCTGTCTGATGTAAAGGCAAATGGAAGATATTTGATGTTCAATGAAAGTGATGCAAGTGAGATTTTGGACCAATGAGATTTCACAAAAGCTAGCATTAAATAGAAGATAAGCGTTCACTACAATGTCCTGCTGGTTGTTGCTTATCCCTGCAGTGGGTGTTCATGACAAAACCTCTTGACATGGAAGAGCTATTGTTGTTTTACCATGTTATTGTGGTTGGATAGAACAAAGTGTTTTTTTAATGTCTGTGGAATTGCTTAATATATGGCAAATCTTTATTTAAAAAAAACAGCCATGAAATGTCCCTTTGAAGGAAAACTTTGAGGTCATTCGTTTCTAAAGCCATTAGATCCTTCTTGCACTGTTCAGATATTTCTGTCCTGCTCTTTTTCTCAGTCTCTTTCATGCTTTACACAGCCTTGAACATGTCAGGCCGTATCAAATCAAACTGGAAAAATAATTTGTGGTCATCAGAGTGAATGCAGCGAAGAAGGATGAAAGTGAAGATGGTGGTCATGATCTTTGAGTGTTGTTTTTTGGCATTTATACACAAGCCTTGAAAAACCTCTTACTTTCACTGTTGCTTTCTCACTGTCTCCTCTCTTTCTGGTGTGAAAATAGGTAATAGGTGTGTAATTTTTCGAAGCTAAAATACTTTCTCCTTTCATAGTCACAGAGGATTTTAAATTGACCATTCGCCCCAAAAATTCTGTCATTGTTTACTCGCCCTCATGTTGTTCCAGACCTGTATTCTGTTATATTTTTGGTGGAACACATTTTTCAGGAATTGTTTTGCAGCTCTTGTCCTACCTTTATAGTGACTTGTTGCTGTCAAGCTCCAAAAAGGACAAAGAAAATCCTCACCAAAAATAAAATTCACAGATACAGTAGCAAGCCACAGAAAAGAAATAGAGAAGGAGAGTATGCTTCAGAGTGCTGGAAAGAACATTGCTTTCCGCCCCTGAATATCACTGCAACAATCTCTGAGCAAAACATTAAAAACTATGTATTTTACAGTATCTAATTGCTAAACAAATTCTTTCTAATAAAGAAAATACTTCTTATTTAGGCAGTTCACGAGGACTGCAGTTCATGAGGACTGAGTGTACATAGGAAACTGCATTTACCATCATTCTCTTTAGCAGTGCAAAAATATAAATAAGCTACATTCAAATCATGCATTCAAAATAATCATATATATATTTGCACATATGGATGACACCATGGGGAAAAGTCAGGATTTTCTTTAAGAACTTTTATTTTTGTATTTATATTTTTCCTGTCATTTTAGTTTAAGTTTTAGTAATTTTATGTTCTTTTGTCATTTTTAATAGTGTTTAGTTGTGTAATTTTTAATTGTTTTTAAAATAATTCTATATAGCTTTAATTTACTTTTATTTTAGTTATAGCTTTAGTAATTTTAGTACTTTTAGTACTTCAACTTAATCTCATTTCAGTTAGTTGCCAAGGCAACATGAAGTTTTTCATGTAATATTTTAATTTAATTCAGCTTTATTTCAATGATCCAAAAACAATTTTTAATAGTTTTATTTTTACTTAACAGTAACAATACTGATTAAAGGATTGGGGCAGAAGCAAATTAGTATTAATCCTGAATTATAACTGTGACGGTCAATTTAATTTTTATGCATTTTCTGTACTGTTGATGAAGAATAGTGATAAAGCTTGTTAGAAAATTCTATTCATTTAGCCTGTTTATGAGGAGACAGGGTTGTATGACCAAGCTACTTTCCCCATCATTTTCTGTGACACCCAATTACACACCTAATGCACATTCATTCATTCATACAGTAACACTAAAATGGCTTTGTCATTATCAGCTAGGGAAAAAGAGAGAAATAATTAAGGATTGTATCAGAAATGACTTGAATGCACATCACGTCATAGTTATGATTTCCAAACATTTAAATAGGAGCTTCTTCAAAAGTTCAAGGTTTGGCTAGTTACCCCTTGTTGGTTAATGGTGTGACTACATCATGTGGACACCACAAAACATCTTTCTTCATTAACATCCAGTCTGAAATTAGTGCTATATTATGACTACATAAACTGTTTTTCCAAGGAATATATATTGTATATTGGTATTACAATAGATTTATTTTATTAATTTGATTTATTTATTTATTTTGGAGGAGATGACCAGGACTGCATATGCTCTCTGCTGCCACCTAGTTTACTCCCTGGTATCTGTCTCTATCTGTCCCATTGGTTCTGCAGTTAACTATAGTCACAGTACTGCAGATATCTGAGTCAGCAGCTGCTGCAGTCATGCCAAGAGAGAAATGCAGACATACAGAGACTGTCTTTAACTAATATACATCCTCTCTCACACTCTTAAATGCTCCATATGGTGATCATTAATGATATTTCCTCTTGGGATGACCCTGATGTCTTGATTTGGGCGTTTCAATGCCGTAATAACCTGTATATGTACATCAGTCAGTACTCCCATGATCTTTCTCACATGCTGTTTGTTCCATTGACAGTTCAGTTAAATTATGACTAGCATCCATATCAGGATGCTTTACTCTTTCACCTTTAAACATACAACTCCATTAACAGTTGGCTGTGCTGCAGCAGGGCTGTTCTCTTTGCTGATGCTGCATTTCTCTCCACATTCATATTGTAATTTCACTGCTATGCAGCATTTTTCATTTTTCCCTTGAAAACTTTATGAAGGTCATTCTTAGATTAGAGTTAAGCGTGGGATATAATATAATTTCTCTGGTGCTCTGCTAAATTATAGACACATATATTCTACAAATTGGACAAACTAGTTACAGAAATCTTATGAACCATAATTTTCCCTTTCCCCCAAAAAAAGGATATTCTTTATAATTATTATATATATATTATTATATATAATTTATTTATAATTATTCAAACCTATAAAAACATGTTGCATTTTTTTTCCCAAGACTCTCAACACAAATTAATAATTTTACACCATTTTGTGCTCATGTTGAAAGCACTAGCATTCAGAAACCATCACAATGTCATCACAACCTCAGTTAACACACAATTCTCATTATGTGAACATTAGTATGCAAACTACTTCACACAGCACCCAGAATGGGGTTTGCAAAAATAGCTACAGAGTTCTTGGCTTTAGATGCAAACAGTACAGAAAGTACTCACATTAGAGGAAGAGTATTGAATGAAGTCACTGCCATTCTTTCGAGTGCCAACATGCCTTCTTCTAAAATGTAAACTAGGCTCTTTACAGATATATGATGAAGTTTGGTATTTGTGTAAAGTTTGTAAAATTTCAGTTTTCACTACAGCACTGCTTGCACAGGTTCTGCACGATCATCTTCAATAATATACTCTTGCTTCTCAATCAGGCTCAAACTGATAAGCGATTTTAACGACGCCGTTGTTTACAATACAACTGGAGCACATGCCGCTGAGGTGAGGGGCGGGACGCGTAGATGGCGCACTAGAGGCGGTTTAGCCAATCACAACACACTGGGCTAGCTAACCAATCAGAGCCCATCGCCTATTTCTGAGGGAGGGGCTTCATAAAAGCAGGAGATTGATCAGCGCGATTCTCAGAGAAGGGACAGAGCGGTATGGAATAAAGGTAAATTATGTGAAAAATAATGCGTTTTTAAAAAAAATGAAGCATTAACACATGTTAGACTGCACCCCATAAACACAGTCAAGCCTAGAAAAAAACATTGAACCACCCCTTTAAATAAATTATGCTTTTGGGCACAATAAGCAAGCTAACATGCAGTACATTACATTCTATATCTTCCATTCTTTTTAAATATATATACATTTTAATCTATATATTTTAGTGTGTCCTCAATAAGCGCCGTTTTTGAAGAGAAGAGTGCACATGTGCATAAATACCAAAGGGAACCCCGCCGGAGTATGACGTAAGAGGAAACCTGCGATGAATCAAACATCAAATAAAGCAAAATGACAGGGAACAAAACATAGTAAATTAGTCATCAGGTGCCATGTTCAATACAGCAGCATCTCAGAGATCTTGAATCAATTAATTAGCAGAAGTTAATACTCCACCACATGCATGTGACGTCATTAACAACGGCCCTAAATTGTTGAACTAATGTGGTTCAAACGACGGAGATGCGACTGTGTTCGGGAAGCAGTCGTGACTGGCTATTTAGTTTACACAACAATGCATCGTACTATGGTGGTTAATCAGTAAGTTACGTCGTTGTACAGGAAACGCACCCCAGCCTGAACGCTAGTTTTTCACCAGGAAGCTTTGAGTAAATGTGTTTTAGCAATTGACAAGAAAGTATAATACTGTATATATTTCAAGTACAGCTATAATAGAGAATTTGTGGGGAAGTTCAAAAGATTGGGTCAGTTATGGGAGCACATTCATATTTAATATTCAGTCCCCTTAGGGGAAGAGAACAAATGTGGAGAGTGAAGTTTAGAGGTGGAATTTAAGTAAACCTTAAAATAGCTGTAGCTCAGGAAAAAAATGTCTCTAGTGATTATCCACTCCGGCACAGAGAGAACATTCCTAATTCAGACTAGTGACTCACTGCCACTGCTCTGCCATTTCCTGATTTGTTTGTTATTAATTCGTTTAATAAGGGATGCGGGAGACTTGGTAACAGAGTTCAAACTAATTTCAGACTCTCTCTTTTTCTCTCTCCCTCTCAGATGGCAAGGTATATGCACTGGGTGGAATGGGAGCCGACACGACTCCTCAGGCCTCAGTGAGGCTGTATGAGCCGACAAAGGACCAGTGGCTGCCCCACACCTCCATGCCCACCCCGCGCTACGGAGCCTTCTCCTTCCTGCGCGGTAGCAAGATCTATGTTCTGGGTAAGCCCTCATAAAATTGTCTCATAAATCTGAATAATTCGGTTGTTTGTCAGAGACACACTCTTGGTTCCCTAGGAATAATAAGACATGACCAAATAATAAAAAAGGGCAGACAGACAGGAGAGTGTAATGGTAAAACTTTTGTTTAGTGTGAAAGGGGATCTGCAATTCAAATCTCAACCTAACACATAGTTTTTAAAAATGGCAACAACAAAAAAATCTAATTTTGACAACCACTGAACTTGAACTTTAGCATTTTCATCAACAGGAAACATATATATATAGTTTTCTAGCACTATTATGGTAGTTAGATTATGACAAAAAATTTTAAATAATCTGAGTTATTGGATAATTTAGACAAACACTTTTTTCCTCAAATAATCATGCAGATTGTGTATATACAATGTTCAAAACTTTGGGGTGATAAGACTTTTAATGTTTTTGAAAGCAGTCTCTTATGCTCACCAAGGCAGCATTTATTTAACCAAAAATAGCATAAAAACTGTGAAATATTTTTACAATTGAAAAATTCTGTTTTCTATTGGAATATATTTTAAAATTTAATTTATTCCTGTGATGCAAAGCTGAATTTTCAGCATATGTTTTTTAATTCTAGACACGCCAAAGTTTTCTTTTAAGATTAGGGTTAATAGTTAATAATTTAAGAACATTTCACACTTAAATAGCTAGGTGTGTGTGTGTGTGTGTGTGTGTGTGTGTGTGTGTGTGTGTCTTGTCTGTCTGGGAATACATAAACTGATACAATGAGATGTAAGTTGCTTTGCATAAAAGCCTCTTCCAAATGTGTACATGTAAATGTCTGAGTTTGAAGAGCATTTGGAGGGGTTAGACTACGTGTATGTGTGAGTTTTATAGTTGATCAGAGTGTGTTTGTGCACATGGGTTTGATGAGCATGTGGAGTTGCCAGTATGGGGTTGTGTTTTGCCAGATTTGTCCTCTTTCTAACCTCTCTGCACTGTGAGACATTCTGTTCAGGTCAGACACAAAGATCAACTGCCCTCTCACTCTTAGAGAAGTCATTACAACTCTGCCTCCCTACACACACACACTAATGAGGACATACTGTAGATTTTTTTGTATAGGTGTAGGCTGGAAATGGCAAGAGTGATGGGCAACATCACCTTCCCATGCCAACATTGATCAGCCTGGTGAAGCAGACGTGCCCTCATTACTGTAACACACCTGGACTCACATTCCTTCACAGCAAGTGCAACTTCTTGTTTGGTTTCATTTTACAGCTCAAACTGAATGTGAACAGAAGTGCTGTGAATTCAGTACAGATGTTCTGATATGCTGTTTAAAATTGCTTGAACGTAGATTAAGGAAGGAGAATATGTTAATGTACATCTCGCCCCTAAAGATCACCACCATTTGCCTCTGGGATAAAAAAAAATGGATAAATCATCTTCATCTTGCTTTAATGGTTTTGGGGACTTTCTTTTTATTACCAAAAGAGTAAAAACTAAAGTGAAGAGTTTGTTCATTTAAAATTATTTATGTTTAGCAATACAGATTTAACCAGTTGTTTTTGGAGTCTCCTACAATAGGTTTACATGAATGCAAGGTCAAAAAACGCTTTTGTTTTCTCAAAATATTCATTTAACATATCATCTAATTTTCAAACGATTTGTTTGAAGCAGTTCTAAGATTCAGCCTCTTTAAACCCCTCCTTTCTGTGAGCATACTCTGCTTTGATTGGTCAAATGGCCCAGTCTGTTGTGATTGGTCTACTGCGTACAGCACGTGTCGGAAACAATACGCTACAGTGTTTGTGGGCGGGGTCAAGTTGTTCGCGTACGGCCGATGTAGAACATAGGTGGGCATTATGCAAATGTGTTACCCCATGATGTGTAGCCATCACAGAAGTGGGATTGAATTACTGATCACTCGTTTAAGCTCTTCTGAGTCGATTCGTTCTTTTGGGAGACAATAACTTTATTTATCGTGCACTTTCAGCTTTACAACTTTGCAGATTGTTTACATTCACATACAGCTTCATTACACACTGCATGAAAGGCAATATTCATAATGGCATAATAACTTATGAAATTATTAGAGATTGAGATGTGGTGTGTGAAGTGAGTGAAATACAGAGAAATAAGAATATTTTACCTTTGGGCTCATGATTCTTCTCCTCCGCTATGACACAGTTTTGTCTTGATGGTTAGACTTAAACTCATTGATTTGACATCACAGGGAATAATTCATTCAGAGCCTTGCTTTTGCTTATATCCCTCCTTGCGGTCTTCAGCATCATTCTTTCTTTCTATCTCTGTTTTCTCTCTCTCTCCCTCACTTGCTCTTAAAAGGCTACTCGCCTTTGTATTTCTTGTCAGGCTTTAGATACAGTTTGACACTTAAAAAAAGCTTTGCATTGAAGATCTTTTGGTGGGTGACAGCAGTAATATTAAGAAACTTAATTCTGTTATTTGTCGGGCTGCTGGACCACAAATAGAGCTGCATTTAAATCACATTAAGGCCAAGAATGAGGAATGAGTCTGATCACAGAATGCTCATTTAGTTTTTATTTACTTTGGGATGAGCCCCACGAGGTCTATTGTGAGCGCAGACACAATCATACGTCACCCAGATGTACCACACTGTCTCCCCAAAATAAGATGCCTACTGTGGATGCTAATATTGTTACATCTGGTGCAGGCAGGAGAGCGACGTGACCCCATTAGAATGTGAACTAAAAAACATTCTCAGAGAAAGTTTAAGGCTGCTTTGAAGGTGTTTTCCACTGGTGTTGTTTTCATGAAGCTGAATGAAATGCACCTGTCCCTTCGAAGACATGATCTAAATGCTCAACACATGCTATTTGATTTGCAGCATGATTCATTGGGCTTTTCTCGCATTTTTGGTCCAAATTTTGAAAGAAATTGCACATAACGGATTTAAACGTGATAAAATGTGTAAAAAGGGAGCTGAAAACCCTACTCTTAATTTAAGCTGTAAGCATTATCAAATTAGCCAGTTGTGCAGTTACAGGTTCTCTATGGACCTAATCGGAGATAGAAATCATCAAAACATTGCAGTTTACCTCCTCCTGCTCTTTTAGAAAGTAATGATAACGTGATGAAAGGTGAAGTGTGAATTTTCTGTTACAGTAAAGACTTTTCAATGTTACAAGTTTAATTGCTGTTATTTTGAACTTTCTATTCATCATAGAATGCTGGGGAAAAAAATCTGAAATTCAGCTCCAAACTTTTGAACGGTAGTGTCATTCTGCCTAAACTCACACCCTTGATTGAACCAGACATGTCAATTCACTTAAACAAATAGGGATAATTCATTGAAAAAACTTCTGTACAGACAGACTAGCCTTTTATTTTTAAACAAACTTTCTATACTGCAGCACAGGGGTCTTCAGGAGCTCAAACATGTTAAAAAAAAAAGAATACAATATCATTAAGTAAACTTAAATTTCAAGTTTAAAAGATAGAATTCACCTCATGAATTCTGACTTCTTTAACAGTAAGTAAAATTCAAATGTAATGTGCACATAAATGACTCGTTCCATCAATAATGATTATTTTCATGACTTTTGCAAATGTCATGAAGTGTATAAATGCATCACTCTATTATATATGTTGTTACAGGCCAGGCATAAAATTCATCACTCAGTTTTATGCATTATGTAACAGTTTTCTTGCGCCACCTCTCTATCCACCTGGGGGCTTCACATGAAAACCGTTAAAGACCTCTGCTGTAACACATTCAAGCTCTCCTTGTTTCTTTGTTTTAAATTCAGATTTACTTATATGCAGTGTGTGTTATTTTGCATCGATGTCTGTGTGTGTGTGTGTGTGTGTGTGTGTTTTACTTTGGCATGTGTGCATGATGCTGGCTGCACACCAGCCGTCTGTCTTCAAATCAGTCTGTGGATGGGTTTGGAACAATACCAGCCGCAATTCACTTAGCTCAATATCTCACCCATACATGTCTCTGTTAAATCCACTCGTGTATTTGCCCTGTTCCCCTCAACTAATTTCCCACAATTTTGACCATGGAGGCTTTAATGATTGAAGTCGAAAGGCTGAAAGAGTTGAAAGAAGTTAATTAAAGGTGTCCAGCAAAGGTCAAGAGAACAAGACCTCTTAAATGGACTGCTGAAACCTCACTTCTTATAGAGACATGCTGCCCCGTCCTCAAGACTTTTCCTCTATCTGTTACTCTCACACTGTCTTGACTGCATTTCCATTTTCTGGCCTACTTTCTCCATCTCTTCACTCTTCCACATTGTTCCTCAGACAGGTTCTTTCTCTCCCCCCTTTGTTTTGTTTTGTCTTGTGTGTGTGTGTGTTTTTCCCTGGCTGTCTGTTCTGTCCCAGAGGGTTCTCAGTAATGCCAAAGCTGGGAGGAGATCAGTCACATTGTGAATGCATAGTGAATGAAAGAGAACGTGCAAGAGGGGAAGAATAAGAGGGAAAAATTCAGGTGTACCTGGAAAGGTGTACTTTCTGAGCTCTCACATACATACGCAGTGATACACACCCTAGAGTTGTACACTTTACATTGTTTTCCAGAGAGGTTTATGTTCTTGTGATGTACTATTTGTTGTATAGATCAGTCAATCTCAACTGATTTTGTTTCAGAACCCAGAATAAACATTGGTTTTACAGCAAAGTGGCAAACTGCTTTTACCTTGTGACAGATGCTTTAGTACCAAAATATCACAGAGTTCAATTGGATATGTGACCTTTGACGTCAACAACAAAAACATAAGAGACAAGTTGTCCTCCCTGTTAAGTTTGCGGTTTATTTTGCATATTTTAATGGTATGGTTCACCAAAAGAAAGAAAGAAAATTCTGTCGTCATTTACTCATCATCTAGGGAAGTCGTGGCCTAATGGGTAGAGCTTTTTCCAGAGAGGTTTATGTTCTTGTGATGTACTATTTGTTGTATAGATCAGTCAATCTCAACTGATTTTGTTTCAGAACCCAGAATAAACATTGGTTTTACAGCAAAGTAGCAAACTGCTTTTACCTTGTGACAGATGCTTTAGTACCAAAATATCACAGAGTTCAATTAGATATGTGACCTTTGACGTCAACAACAAAAACATAAGAGACAAGTTGTCCTCCCTGTTAAGTTTGTGGTTTATTTTGCATATTTTAATGGTATGGTTCACCAAAAGAAAGAAAGAAAATTCTGTCGTCATTTACTCATCATCTAAAACCTGTATGACTTGCCGTCTTCTGTGAAACATAAAAGAAGATATTTTGATAAATGTCCTTGTGGGGTTTTGTTGTCCATACAGTAGAATTGTTCACTTAATATTCTTCAAAATATCTGCCTTTATGTTCCTCATACTGTAAGAAAGAAAGTCAAACAGGTTTGGAATGACATGAGGGTGAGGAAATGATCACAGAATTTGTATTTTTGGAGTAATTATCCCTTTAAATGCACAATTATATTTTATATGGCAAAATCTGGTTTTAGACCAAGGTAGATGTCATATTTAATTTGACTTAAACGACAATGTCAAATAAAATGTTGTTATTATTATTATCAAATTAAGTGGAAAGGGCAGTGCATCCAATACGTCATATGTTAAGATCCTACAAAATGCCATTTTTATTGAAAATTTCCTGATTATTTTGTCCACTGTGACCACAGTTCCAGATTGTTTCATCAGCTGAATGATTTCTCCCCAGATATACAAGAGTATGACATGAACTTCAATCCATCACAGCCTCATTTTCATTCTCATCACATTAAATATGCTGTCTGCTGTGACTAATGGATATTACTGTAGCTACACACTCACAGAGGCTCAACTAACAGATTCATTGTGTTATCAATGAGAAGCGCTCATTGTATTATCTTTCTACAATTATGCAATCCCAATAATAATAAGCTCCTCGGACATATTCCACATACAAAAACAATAAAAACCACATCTTTATACATGAAATAAAATAAGATAATTTGAGATATAAATGAGATAATAGACCATTTAAGGACGAAATTGATCCCAGGACCAGGATTTCTAGAAATTGCTAGTTATGCAATGATAGGTAACACATTCAATTAAACATGGAATTTTGACAGGCTGAAATAGTATTTTGTTGTAAAACGTACTCCAATAACCAATAACCTTTTATTTATAACTTAAAAAAATAATGGTCCTTGTTTTAGAGAAAGTAACACTCAGGTAACATAGACAAATTGACAGCTCCTCTACTAATCCCTGTAGATTAAACAGTAGAGTATAGTGCTAGCGACACAAGGACCATGAGTTTGCTTTGGATAAAAGCATCTGCCAAATGCATTAATGTAACAAAATAAAACAATTAGTTGACAACAGTGTGCATCTTACTAAATGTGGTTCTCTATTTCTTCATTACTTGTGTATGTGTTACTGTCTCCATGAGATGAATAATTTGTGTAGTAGTCAGAAGCGTCAGGCACGTTCAAACCTTCATCTCATTTGTAAGCATCTGCTAAATGAGTTTGTCAAGCCTGTGTATGGCTGTAGGTGTGCTGTTAGCGGCATATTTGTGTGTTTGTGTATGTGTGTGTGCGCATGTGTGTACAGGTACGTGCTTTTCTATACCAGTGGGGATTAAACCTGAATACACACCAACTCATGGGGACTCGTGTCACCGTGGGGACCTAAATTGAGGTCCCCATGGGGAAACAAGCCTATAAATCATACAGAATTGTTGTTGTTTTTTTGAGAATGTAAAAATGCAGAACATTTCCTGTGAGGCGTAGGTATAGGTGAAGGGTTGGTGTAGGGCAATCGAATATATGGTTTGTACAGTATAAAAACCATTACACCTATTGAGAGTCCCCAGAAGTATAGTAAACCAGACTATTGTAAACCAGACAGGATTAATATGATGTGTGTGTGTGTGTGTGTGTGTGTGTGTGTGTGTGTGTGTGTGTGTTTGTTTGTTCCAATAATGGAATAGGCTGTCAGCTTGTCTGAGAAGACCAAAGCGTTGTCAGTGAGCCGTGACATGTGGTAATCGCGCACACACTGACTCCCAGCAGGGACAGACGTGACACACTGGCCTATCAGAGTCCTATCAGAGAGCTACCACACACGCACACACACACACACACAGACACACATACATACTTCATCTTAATCCTCCAACCCTCTTCTTATTTTCCCCTCCGACAGGTGGGCGTCAGGGCAAGCTGCCAGTGACCGCATTCGAGGCCTTCGACCTTGAGATGAAGAGTTGGACGCGGTATCCGTGCATCCCCAGCCGCAGAGCGTTCTCCTCATGTGCTGCCAGCGACAGGGCGTTTTTCAGCCTGGGGGGTCTTCAGCAGCCTGGACCCCACAACTTTTACTCCAGACCTCACTTCGTCTCCACTGTAGAGGAATTTGATTGTGAGCAGGGTGAGCAATTCATCTCTTTTGCTGAATCTTTATTGACAAAATGATACACAAAAGAAATGTGACCATTACTATGTCAGCTCAAAGACATTTTTCATTGTACATTGTTGGAGCAATAAATATAACCAAGTGGTACTGTAAAAAGGAAGTTTTTTAAGAAAAAACTTTGTCGGGGTTAGTCATTACACTACACTACCATTCAAAAGCTTGGAGTCGGTGAGGTGTGTGTATATATATATATATATATATATATATATATATATATATATATATATATATATATATATATACTGTATATATGTATATCATTTTCTCTTATGCTCACCAAGGCTGCATTTGTTTGATCAGAAATACAGTAAAAACAGAGATATTGTGATTTTAAAGTTACAGTTTTCTATTTGAATATATTTTAAAATGTAATTTATTCCTGTTATGCAAAACTGAATTTTCAGCATCATTACTTCAGACTTCAGCGTCACGTGATCCTTCAGAAATCATTCTAATTTGATGATTTGGTGCTCAAGAAACATTTCTAATTATTATAAATGTTGTAAACAGTATAGCTGCTTCATATTTTTGTGGAAAACGTGATACATTTTTTTCAGGGTTCTTTGAAAACAACAGCATTTATCTTAGATAGAAACTTTATACAACATGATAAATGTCTTTACTGTCACATTTGATCAAATTAATGTGTCTTTGCGGTTTAAAAAATATTCATTAAAAAATTTTTTTTAATGCAATGTCTTTAATGCCTTTTTACATGTGTAAAATTACCTTGAGCTTGAGAAAGGTGCTATAAAATCTAAAACATTCTGGTAAGGCCTGTAAAAAAAGTAGGATAGTAGCTGTATTTCTTCTCTTGCTGGGAAAAATTAACCTCAGTGTTCACACAAAGGGCGAGCTTAAATAATGGAGGATAGTTTTTACTTAAATCGTTTTCATTAAGTCATTGCTGTGTACAGGTTGAAATGTAGAGTGTAGACAAGAGTAATTAACTGCCAGCCGTCATCAATTATAAAAATAGGTGGCAATCTTTGATGGCAGGAGTGTAATTGGTGAAGATCAAAGATCTTGGTAATTTGGTAAATAATGGTAATTTGATGCTTGAACGGCTGTCTGTAATGCTTTTAATACATATCATTTGATTTATTAAAACTCTGACGTCAAGTAGCCTGTGTAAAATCAGTGCTTTTATAACGAATAGATTTTAGTTTAATAGATTTTAATTAAATTTTAATAAATAGATAATACATTTTATAATGAATATTTTAATCACATGATATACTGTTTGATTATATGCATATATTTATATTTGGCAATTTGAAAAAGCTATCAAAATTAACAATTCAAAGACATTACATTATTGTGGCAGGTGAAAACTCTGAATAGGCGCACAAAAATGCCTTTAGGAGTCCATATATTTATTTTGTTTCCATATCATTGAACATAAGCCAAGCACAGGTCTACAGTCCACAGCAATGTGTTTCAATCAATGTTTAATCTGTCATGAAATCATGAAACATGAAAGTGGTACTTATAGCAGTCTTGACAACATTGTGGTCTCTTTTACATGGCTTCCTTTCTCTCTCTCTTGCTCTGATGCTGTGGTTGAAACCTATCTGACAGCTCAGCTTCAATCTCTTCAGCCTCACTATGTGACAGGCAGGAGAAAGATTGATGTGTTGTTGTGTTCACTGTACATACAGCACTGGAGGGGTGGAAATATATTTGTTTCTCTTGCTATCTCTCTCACTACACAACAGGGGGGAGTTCACTGGGATACAACATGCTCTCCAGGATACCACCTATAAGGTGAAACAATCACTAAAATTGTTGTGCTGCTAATATAATTTGTAATAGATTTTTTTTTCTTTTAGTATTTTATTATTGTTTTTATTACTAATTGATTTATCTATCATTCATTCATTCATTTTATGACTATTACATTTTTAAATAGTTTTATTTTCAAATAAGTTAATAGTAAAATAATTATCAATAAATTAATATTTTTATTACATTTGAAACATGCAAAATAGAAGCATTTTTACTAATGCTCTCAAACTCTTGGTCCCCACTGTGTACATTCTTCTGTGTTGGTTTTCTCCCAGTGTTCTCCCTCCTTTTAATTAAACTGTAATTCTCTGTTATGTTTCAACCACTTTTTCTCATCCCAGTAGTACCACTCAAGGAGCTTTTAATTGCGCTAACAAAAATAAGAGTGTTCTCTCATCTTCATGTAAATAGCCGAACCCCCACGGGCCACCGGCCCTTATCACAAAGATACGTGTTTTTGGCTTTTTCATTTTCTGTCGCCTTCCCTTCTTATTCCCTTTGTGTTTGCCAGTGTTTATATGTGTGTACGTGTTTGTCAGACTCCTGGACAATCTCCAACACAGAATGAAGTCTGATCGGTCCTGAAGGGTCATTCTCACCGACCTCTTAAATTATATTCCTGCCTACCTACAGTATATATTAAACCTCTGCTACACGAATGTCTCTATCCATTACACTCAGCCAAAGGGACAAATAGAGAAGGATAGAAGGGGGGGAAAAATCAATAAGAAAGTAAAAAGGTTCCTGCATTTTTAAACACCAAGCCACCTTTTTAGATTTAGTGAGTTATGAGGCTTTTTACATAAAAAGAAGCTGGAAGAGTAAACAAAAAATAAATTGTATTTGGTGACACCATGCTTGCAGGGTTGACGTGAGCGGGACAGGTTGTAACCTGCTCAAGTTTACCTTTTTAATCAGATGCATTTGCATTTAAATTCCACTGTTGTGTGCTCTGATTCTGTGATTTTATTTATTATTTCAGTTTAAGTTATAGTAAATTTGTTTTCATCATTTTTTTCTTATATTTGGCTTTAATCCGTTTCTGTACCAAAATGATTTTTAATAGTTTTAGTAACAATAACAACAACAACAGTTATTCTCCCTGCCGCAGAATGGGAGACAATAGTTAAATATGTAATCTTTTGAAGTGATTCTGATCCTGGCCTTTTCACCTGAAAATTTTGGATTAAGTACCTTATTCACAGAAATATTGGTTAAACTACTGTGGAAATATTAATGTCAGCAGAAAGCATGTTAAACAATTTTATTAAGAGTTGTTGATGTAAATTTTCTATTAATCAAGGCAGCAGTAATTAGTCAAATATTCAAATGATGCAAAAAATTGACCAGACATATATCCAGACAAGCACATTTTTTAGCATGTTAAACTTTCACTGATTTGCATGGTGCTAAAAATGCAGACAGTGTTTTTTGTGCGTGTGTTTTTTTGTTATTTATATACTATTTAAATATTACTGTAATCATATTTTAAATGAGCCTTTATTTTTATTTTATTTATTATTTCAGTTTAAGTTATAGTAAATTTGTTTTCATAATTTTTTTCTTATATTTGGCTTTAATCCGTTTCTGTACCAAAATGATTTTTAATAGTTTTAGTAACAATAACAACAACAGTTATTCTCCCTGCCGCAGAATGGGAGACAATAGTTAAATATATAATCTTTTGAAGTGATTCTGATCCTGGCCTTTTCACCTGAAAATTTTGTCTTTCCTTTTGCCTTTTGGAGCAGATGTGTTCAATTATGAGAGCTGGATAAAGCATGATTTCTCTGAGTAGTCTATGGTGGAACTTCAGTGCAGGTCTGGGTCTGACAGGAATCTCTCCCTCAAGCATCCTCAGAGCAGCACCACATAAAAGACTGAGCAGAGGCTTGTTAGAGAGGAATCATTAGTATGGGCGTCCTCTCTCTGCTCTCTCTCTCTCTCTGTTCCTCAGCTCTCCTCTTCAGCACAGAGAACCTTCCTTTTATATTACTTCATTATAATCAGTTACTTAGTATATTGTTCAGCACTGAATTTCTTCGCTTTAAACCTTTCCTTTAAACTTCCCTGAGCATGGCTTCCTAATCGCTTCCCCTTATCGTATTCATCTCCTTTGTTCATTCAAAAATAAAACATTTACATAATTAAATTCAGGAAGCTTTTCCATGCAATTAAATAACTGTAAACCTTCTCAGCAAAAAAATAATAATAATAATAGTTTGAATTAATTTGATCTAGTAGTCTTTTTGTCCAAATTAATTTAGTCATGCCAACTAATGCAGTGAAAATGAGAAGGAATGAAAGGGATTTGAACTCGGGTCTCTGCACATGTATGCACCACCACAGCACTGCCCGTGTTTCTCTCATGAATCACTCTACTTTAACACATTTTTAATAATTTTCTGACATTTTTGGTGGTTTACCAAAAATTAGATTTTGCTGTTTTTTTGGTGGATAATAATGTGTGTAATTACAGGGGCAGTTGTGGCCTAATGGTAAGAGAGTTGGTCTTGTAACCCAAAAGTCACGGGTTCTAGTCTCTGTACCGGCTGAGATTATAGGTGGGGGGGAGTGAATGACCAGCGCTCTCTTCCACCCTCAACACCACGTCTGAGGTGAGATCCTTGAGCAAGGCACTGAACCCTTAACTCTTCCTCGGACGCCACAGCAAAAAAAAAAAAACAATATGAATTCTACAATATGTCTACAATATGACCAATTTAATGAAAGTGAGATCTCTTTGAAATGGTTGGTTTAGTTTCACACAATAAAATCTTCAGTGGATGTTGTTTGAGACATAAAAGCACACATCCTCTCACATTCATTCTGAACACAGACTCATTACCTCAGCCGCTGTGTGCTGTGCCGTACAAGCATGCAGTGTGTGTTCACTCATTAGGCATGACGGCTGCTATTGTCGGCTTGTGTTCTCAGGGCTTTTGTACATGAATGAGTGTGGTGTTAGCAACAATTGCTGGATCCCTCATCCTTATTCACAGTAACAGCATGCAGAAAGGGTTTAAACAAACTTCCTCCCTAAAGGTTTTCAAGGTATCATAAAACTGTTTTTCGCTGTGTGAGTCTTAGTTGCTGATGTCCGGTTGTCACATGTTTCACTCGTCCTCTCTCGCTTTATCTTTCGTTTTCAGACTGACCTGACACAT